ATTTCAATTACCCACAACAAATTAATCACGTGTGACTCAACATTTTTGCTAAAGAGATAAAAAATGCAGGATTAAGTAGGATCTGTAAATTCTTCTCATGCTTTTCACTCCAAAAAATGCTGGAGGATTCAGACTTCCTTCTTCCCCATGGAAACAGCTTTCTTTAACCTAAATGGGCATCATTCGAAATTTACATCTTTTTAGCATTTTTTGTTTATCTTAATGTGAGATTCATCGGTGGCTGAGCTTTCAGCCTCTTTGCCCCCGCACTCTGGAACTCCATCCCACAGTTCCTTCGCCTCGCTTCCCCCATTGCCTCCTTCAAGGCCAGTCTCAAGACCCTCCACTTCAATCGTGCTTTCAGTCGCCCTTCCGCCTCTCTGCCTTCCCTCAACCCTCCCCCATCCCTCCCCCATGCTCGGGTCCTGACCCCTGACTATCCAGCACCTTGGGACATCCTCCCAAAGTGAAGGGCGCTCTATAAATGTAATTTTGTTGTTGTTGTTGTTGATATTCCTCCCTACACAAGCTGCAGACCATCCAGAACACTAGCCTGTGTCCTCTCCCACATCAGCCTTGGTGAACCCATCATGCCCAGCCTCGCTCTGCTGCACTCCACTGGTTCGCCATTGCCTCAGTGGCCAACCTTTCTAATTCTCCATGCTAACCTCTGGAACTCCTTCCCTCAACCCCATCCATCTCTGTCCTCCCCTCCCCCCCCAATCTGGCTTCAAGTCCCACCTCAAAACGTATCTATTCAACCATATTTATGGTCATCTCTTTCCTCCCTCTCCCCGTGCTTGGTGGGCAGTCTACCATTGTAAAACACTCTGAGACATTATTCTATCTGAAGGGCACTATCTAAATGTTATGGTTTTATTCCGCAGCTTGATTCTCGCATGTTTTCATGTTGTTCACGAATGGAGTCAATTATATAGTGTTCTAATCAAGTTAGAGGTTAGGCAGTTCTCCAATTTAAATTCAATTAAAAACTAGTGCATTTTTTAAAAAAAAGACTAAGGTAGCTTAAGCAAGAAAATTGGTACAATTTATATTAAAAAAACAGTTCCCCCTGCCCCATCAGCTCCCTTCACCTGTGTATATGAGGGAGAACGGAATAGAGGTGTATAGGAGATGGGGTTAAGAGAGAAGACTTGTGTGGAGCTTATATAATACTAATAATAATACATAATAAATAATAATCCTTGCGTTTGATATAGCGCCTTATCACATCGTCAAGATGTCTGAAAGCGCTTCACAGGATATACTGTAAGGTGGTGTCACTGTGCATTTTGTTGGTGAACACACAGGCAATTTGCAAACAGCAATGTTCCATCAACAGCCAAAACTGGCACAGAATATTTGGGCTGAATGTCCTGTTTCTATTGCTATAACGTTCAATGCCCACAAATTACACACCGTCCCACCAATTCCCTGTATATCCTGTGAAACGGTTGAGATATCTCAACAGGTGATAAGACACTATATCAAATGGAAGGATGATGTAATTCAGTGAATGTATGTGTATGTGCCGCCGTGCTCAGCTATACTGCTCTACAGTCCTTGCATTTGAGTTCCTGTTATCAGCTATCCATCCGTCTGGTGAGAGCTCAAACCTGTGACCATTAGCATCCACGGGTCGATAATGAAATGTTTTCAGTATTGACCCATGGATGCTCTCTTTTGATAAACAAGATCTCTCAGGGTTGAGCTGGCTCCAAGGTGAGGGTGCCTGTCAGAAGGGGAATGGACCTGAGTCTTTCTGATAATGAGGCACTCCTGCAAAACAATACCCTAAAAAGATACAGTACCACTAGGTGGACAAGTAGAGCAAAGCTTACCAATGTTTCATAGCTGCATTATTTTAACTGGTTAGATTCTTGAACAGTAATAGCAGATTTTGCAGCTTGCACTCGCTAATTCTGCTGCCAAACCACTGTGTTCTCTGGTCCAAGGGTTGCCGTTAGTTACAGGGTAGGAATTGTGCACATCAGAGCTAACACGCACTCACACATACATAACAAACACACACACGTAGCACACACACATACACACTCACATACACACACACACATACACACTCACATATACACACATACACACATATACACACATACACACTCACTCACATATACACACACACACACACTCACATATACACACATACACATTCACATATACACACACATGCACACTCACTCACATATACACACATACACACTCACATATACACACACATACACTCACACTCACATATACATACACATACACTCACATATACACACACATTCGCACTCACATATACACACACATACACACTCACACACATACACACACACTCACATACGCACATATACACACAGACAACAACAAAAATAAAATTACATTTATAGAGCGCCTTTCACGTCAGAGAATGTTCCAAGGCTCACATACACTCACACAAAATACCTCTGCTTCTGCGAAACTGAAACAACAAAAAAAGCTGAAACTTCCGACTTCTCAGCACGAAAGGGGAGCTTCAATATGTTAAACACCCAGATCAACAGACACACACTCACGCACACACACACACACACACACTCAACCACACACACACACTCATGGAAACATACGCATACACTCACACACACACACTCACACATACATGCACACACACTCACACATACACACACTCAAACACACACACACTCACACTAACACACAAACTCATACATACTGTACTGCTCACACACACTGTACTGGTGTACAGTGTGTGTGAGCTGGTGTACAATGTGTGTGAGCTGGTGTACAATGTGTGTGAGCTGGTGTACAGTGTGTGTGAGCTGGTGTACAATGTGTGTGAGCTGGTGTACAGTGTGTGTGAGCTGGTACAGTGTGTGTGAGCTGGTACAGTGTGTGTGAGCTGGTGTACAGTGTGTGTGAGCTGGTGTACAGTGTGTGTGAGCTGGTACAGTGTGTGCGAGCTGGTACAGTGTGTGCGAGCTGGTGTACAGTGTGTGCGAGCTGGTGTACAGTGTACAGTGTGTGTGAGTGGTGTACAGTGTGTGTGAGCTGGTGTACAGTGTGTGTCACAGCGTGTGAACTGGTGTACAGTGTGTGTGAGGGGGTGTACAGTGTGTGTGAGCTGGTGTACAGTGTGGGGCTGGTGTATAGCGTGTGTGAGCTGGTGTACAGTGTGTGTGAGCTGGTGTACAGTGTGGGGCTGGTGTATAGCATGTGTGAGCTGGTACAGTGTGTGTGGGGCTGGTGTACAGTGTGTGTCACAGTGTGTGTCACAGTGTGTGTGAGCTGGTGTACAGTGTGGGGCTGGTGTATAGCATGTGTGAGCTGGTACAGTGTGTGTGGGGCTGGTGTACAGTGTGTGTCACAGTGTGTGTCACAGTGTGTGTGAGCTGGTGTACAGTGTGTGTGAGCTTGTACAGTGTGTGTGAGCTGGTGTACAGTGTGTGTGGGGCTGGTGTACAGTCTGTGTCACAGTGTGTGTCACAGTGTGTGTCACAGTGTGTGTGAGCTGGTGTATAATGTGTGTGAGCTGGTACAGTGTGTGTCACAGTGTGTGTGAGCTGGTGTACAGTGGGGCTGGTGTACAGTGTGTGTGAGCTGGTGTACAGTGTGTGTGAGCTGGTGTACAGTGTGTGTGAGCTGGTACAGTGTGTGTGAGCTGGTGTACAGTGTGTGTGAGCTGGTGTACAGTGTGTGTGAGCTGGTGTACAGTGTGGGGCTGGTGTACAGTGTGTGTGAGCTGGTGTACAGTGTGTGTGAGCTGGTGTACAGTGTGTGTGAGCTGGTGTACAGTGTGGGGCTGGTGTACAGTGTGTGTGAGCTGGTGTACAGTGTGTGTGAGCTGGTACAGTGTGTGTGAGCTGGTGTACAGTGTGTGTGAGCTGGTGTACAGTGTGTGTGAGCTGGTGTACAGTGTGTGTGGGCTGGTGTACAGTCGGGGAGGGTGTACAGTGTGGGGGGGGTGTACAGTGGGGGTGGTGGTGTACACTGTGGGGGGTGTACAGTGGGGGGGTGTACAGTGGGGGGGGGTGTACAGTGGGGGGGTGTACAGTGTGGGGGGGGTGTACAGTGGGGGGGTGTACAGTGGGGGGGGGGGTTGGCCCTCGGTTTGATGGACGCTGCGGGCGGCCAAGAGCGATGTGCGGAGGGTGACAGCAGAGCCCCAGTGGGAGGGGAGAGGCGGGGAGTGGGGGTTGTGGGGGGGGGGGGGGGGGAAGGGAGTGGGGGTTGGGGGGGGAGTGGGGGGGGGGGGGGAGTGGGGGGGGGGGGGGGGGAGGGTGGGGGGAGTGGGGGGGGGGGGTGGGTGGAGGGGGGGAGTGGTGGGGGGGGGAGTGGGGTTGTGGAGGGGGGGGTGGGGGTGGGGGGGGGGGGGGGGGGGG